CCGCCTCCTAGCCCCGCCCCGGCACCGCCTCCTAGCCCCGCCCCGGCACCGCCTCCTAGCCCCGCCCCGGCGCCCTGGCGTCCCGCCCACCATTCGCCCCTCCCCCGGGCGGCGGGGGTCACGCCTACTCCGGGCTCAGCGGGGGGCGGAGGCAGCGTCGTGCGCACGCGCGGGCCGCGCCGCGGGCTCCTGCAGCGCCGGAAGCCCGCCCAGCCGGAGTCTCGGTGGCGAGTCGCGGCGCGGCCGAGGGGGTCCGCGCGGGAGCGTTTCCGGGGGCTGCGCCGCCATGAGGCTGGCTCCGCGCGCTCTGTGCAGCGCCGCCCAGGCCGCCTGGCGGGAGAATTTCCCTGTGCTCGGTCGCGACGTGGCGCGCTGGTTCCCGGGCCACATGGCCAAAGGTGAGGCCCGGCGGAGAGGGGCCGGGGGCCGGGGGCCGGGGGCCGGGTCCCGCCCACCCCCGTTTCGGCCGCGGGCTGTCCCGCTTGTCCTTGGCTGGCCCCGCCCCTCTTCCCCCCGTTCCCCGTTCCCGGCGCCGCCGGGTCTGTTCCCCTGCGCAGCTGCGGGGCAGGCCCCTTCCCGAGAGTGCCCCGGCGGAGCCGCCCCCGCCCTCTTGTCCTCGGCGGAGCGGGCCCGGGGCCTGCTTGACCCCTGACCTCTGGCCCGCCGCCCCTGTCCTCTGTCCCCCCCAAGTGCCTTCAGCCCCTTTAATCCCCCGAAGCCTCCGTCTCCACAAGTCCTTGACAAGATGGACTTTTCTGAGTTTTTCGGGGACTGAATGAAATGATGGGTATGAAGGCAGCTGTTCCGCTTTGACTCATAGGTGGAGCCGTTCTTTTCTTCTGCTTAAACGTCCTTGGTAATTTCTTAGTGGTTTTTTTTTGTCACAATTCGGCCCCAAGAAGACCTCTGGGGCCGGCCCAGCCCCTGTAGGCGTTGAGATGGCCACTCCTGCGTCGGCTCCGCGCACTGAGGGCCGAGGAGGAAGAAGGGCCGGCGTGGGTGTCCTCGATCCTCCGACAGCGCTGGAGGGGAAGGAGCTTTGTTATCTTGGTTGTATTCCTGCTTAGGGGACCCTACGAGGTGGCAGGGGCCTAGTGAACCAGTGTTACTCTATTTTATAGCCCAGATTAAGACCCGTGGAAGTTAAATATTCCACCCGTAGTCACCCACGAGTCAGGAGGTGGAGACTGCATCTGGGTTTTGACACATGGCCCACCCTCGGGCAGGGCCCTGGTCCATCTCCCATTCCGAGGGTGTGGAACTTGGAGGAGGCGCTCAACGGAGGTCATTCACTCAGATGTAGTCTTTTAAGGTTATTTATGGCGGCATGTCATTCTGGACGATTCAGCTTGAATTGATCCCTCTTGAAAGGTGGTGAGCTCCTTTGCTGAGGCATCCTTCTGTTTTCCAGGGCTGAAGAAGATGCAGAGCAGCCTGAAGCTGGTGGACTGTATCATCGAGGTCCACGATGCCCGGATATCCTTTCACAGAGCAGGGGAGGCTGGGCGCGGTCTCACGCCTGTAATCTCAGCACTTTGGGAGGCCGAGTCGGGTGGATTGAGAAGTCAGGAGATAGAGACCATCCTGGCCAACCCCGTCTCTACAGAAAATACAAAAATTAGCCAGGCATGGTGGCGTGGGCCTGTAGTCCCAGCTACTCAGGAGGCTGAGGCAGGAGAAACGCTTGAACCCGGGAGGCAGAGGTTGCAGTGGGCCAAGATCATGCTACTGCACTCCAGCCTGAGCGACAGAGTGAGACTGTGTCTCAATTTTTTTTTTTTTTTAATCTGGGGAGGCTTTTAAAAATACCAATTGCTAGGCCCCTTTCTAGACTGCATAATCAGAATCTGTGGTGTGGGGTCCAGGCTGCCTGTCTGTGAAACTTCTTTGTTAATACATACATCTGGGTCATTCAAGCCAGCAGTGGAATTCTCTAGATAGACTGTAAAACCATCGTTTAAATGTTCCTGCCAACTGGGGCTTTCCTTCTGTACTTGAGGAGTGAATTGGCAAGATGTGATGATTTGTTCATTGATGGGTATTCTTCGCAGAGCCAGATTTTGCTGTAATTGAGTGATGTTTAGATTCTCTTTATATGATGAAGGGTTGCTGGGACCTCTGCAGTAAAGCATTGGGTTTCTTTGCTGTGGGCTATAAATATATCAATTCATATAATATGCCAGTCTTATGTTTGATTGTTAAAAAGTAACGGAGTGTAGTATATGTGATGAATGTATATGATTAGAAGGCATTTCCCCTCTAGCCTGGTCTACCTTCCTATCTAAGGTGTGCTGAAAAGCCAGAAGGCTGCTGTTGGCCTCTCACATCCAGGAAGAGTC